AAGTTGGACAATGATTAAGGATTACCATAGAAGAACTGATGCATTTGAGTTGTTCCAGAAGACAAAGTCAAATAATATAACAAAATGTGCAAAGAGCTGGAGTTAGAAAACCAAAAGGGAAAAACACGCACAGCATTTCTAAAGCTGAAAAACTGGAGAATATTGAAAATTACCACGGACTGCAAAATGAATAAATAGATCTGTGTTGGAAGAAGTGCACCCAGAGTGCTCTAAGAAGCCAGGATGGTCAGACTTCGCCTCTCATACTTTGGACATATTGTCAGAAAGGACCATTCCCTAGAAAAGGATAACATGTTTGGTAAAGCAGAGGGTTGGAGAAAAGAGGAAGACCCCCAGAGAGATAGACTGGCACCATGAAGGCATCAATGGATTCAAACATAGCAACAATTCTGGAGTTGGCCCAGGACCGGGCAGTGTTTCATTCTGTTGTGCATAGAGTGGCTATGAGTAGGCCTACTCAATGGCACCTAACAACAACAACAACAAGGTACAGAAAAATAACATCTGATCAATGATTGTATCACTACAACAACTTTAAATGGCTTAAAGTCAGATATGATCTCAAAGCTGAATGTTAAATTCAGACCTATTATCTGTGTGTTCACATTGATATATGTGAATATAAATATGTTAACAATGCTATTATGACTTCTAAAAATGAAAGGGAAAACATTTATCACAGAAATAGAAGCTAATATAAAATCTCATTCAAAGAAAACATCCCAGTCTTTAAAATGGGAATACGGTATGTCTGATTCCTCTGCCACGGTACAACATACTGAATGGGAAAAAAAGCAAAAAGAAGCCAACAGAAATGAATCTTTTATGAATAAGTGGTTTTCTTGGAAGTATTATAGAACGGACTGTCAAGAATTCATCACTTACTCTATTCAACATAAACTCTTACACTATTATAAAAACTGCTGGTGAAAATAATAATAAAGTGCTTGATTAAAACATCTACAACCCTAACTACAACAACTATAAATACTAAGGTTTTAAGTACTCTTGGACTTCAATGAATTGAATTTTCTAGTGCAGTATCTAAAAATTCATTAAAGTCCAACAGTAACTTGTTGTGAAGTGCCATCGAGTCAGTTCCGACCCATTGCGACCCTGTGTATAGTTTCCGAGGAGCAGCTGGTGAGCTTGAACCACCGACCTTGCAGTTCAAACGGCTTTGCAATCTGGTTCATTAACCCATAGCGCCACACCAGGACCTTAGTATTTGCTGTTGTTGTTAGGGTTGTAGATGTTTGAGAAAGATGAGGCTTTCTGCTCTTGTAAAGATTTACAACCTCAGAATCTCTGGACAGGGTCGCTGTGAGTCAGAACCTGACTCCACGGCATACCACCACCACCACCAGTATCTTTCAGAAATAATGAGTGCAGAGAATCTCCCATTGTTGTTGTTAGGTACCATCGAGTCAGTACTGACCCATGACGACCTTATGCACAGCAGAACGAAACACTACCCAATCCTGGGCCAAACATTAAAAACAAACAAAAGCATTATGATAGATAATTTTATTTCTCAAATATGAGGGGTTGCTAACTTACTTGTCTTTATGGAACTTTATGATGTAGTGTCAGATAGTCCTTCAGCCTCAAAATACTCTCCATAGGAAAAAAAAAAAAAAGTCACTTAAACCCTGACTTCAGATTTTTGCCAAAAGCAAAGAACCATCTGTACTAGGTATTTTAGGATGTGGGTAAGATGAAAAGCCCTGGTGTAGTGTTTAAACCACAAGGTTGGTAGTTCAAGCTCTCCAGCTGCTCCTCGGGAACCCTATACAAGGTCACCATGGTCAGAACCAATTCAACAGGACTTAACAACAATAACAAGGTGAGACTATGTCCTAGGTATTTGTATAATAGTTTCTGGGCTTAAAATGATAAAAAATCAAATCCTAAATATCCTTGTAAAAAATAACATGATTATTTATTTAGGAGGCAAATGACATTGTCTGAAATTTCTCTTTAAAATATTTTATAAACAAAATGTAAAGATGACAGAACTGATGAAGCAAGTGTGGCAAAATGATGACAACTGCTAAAGTCAAAGTCAGACTATGGGATTTATTATTTTTTGTTACCTATTCTTTTCATAAAGAAAAGCCAAGTTTTTAATACTCATTAAATAACTGATTAACAAACATGCATATAAAAAAGGAAGTTGCAACTTCAGAAAAATTCTTAAAGACTAAAATGAAGTATATTAAAATGTTAAACAGTGTTTATAATGGGATACTGAGAACCTGGAATATTACTTTCCAGAAACTCAACCACTACTATTAAAACCATGCAAAAGAAGTATTGAATTTGTACTGGAAAAATGTATAAATAACATAATCTGCTTAAAAAATAATAATTAAAGTTGGTTTCATTTTTAAAATAATCAATAAAGGTAAAGAACTTACTTGTTCTTCTCTTTTCTGTTTGCGTAACTGAAGTCCTTCTTCTTCTCTTCTTCTTCGCATCTCATCAGGATTTAGGGACTTGTTCTTATAGCTTTTCAGGCGAAAGTTCTCTTTTCCTGGGGTGGTCATGATTTCTACAACATTAAGGGAGAATTAGAAACAAATAAGTTTAACTGTAAAAAGATTTCTATAGTAATAAAAAGCTTAGCATCTTAAATACATGCTGAGACCCAACTCCAAAGAGACTCTGGGAACAGTTACATTATTATTTAATGATTTCATTGAGAAAATTCACATACCATACAATCCACTCATTTAAAGAATGCAATTCAACAGTTGCTCGTATACTCATAGCTTTGTGCAACCAACACCACATTCAATTTTAGAACATTTTCATTTCCTCAAAAAGAAACCCCAAACTGCTATTGTTGCAAATGTAAAGGTAGACATTTTGTAACAAAAGGAGAGGAGTGGTTGACCTTGCAGTCCAGGAGGAAGGACCCTAGGACCATAAAGGGAGAAAAGCGGAACGTGGGACCCCATCAAGAGAAGCAGCAACGCCAAAGATGGAGGCAGAGATGATGACGTGGAGAGATGGAGTGGCTAGGGACACTAGACTCAAGTAGGAGAGGGGCTGAGTACTGGCAGCCAGGAGACAGGCTTGCAGAGTATGAGCTCTTTGGTTGTCTGAAAGGTTATATATTCCTGAGTGCTTTGGAGTACATCCACAAAAAAAAAAAAAACAACAGAGGGAATGGAAGCAAATGCTGCTGAATAATGATGCATGGAGGGGATATTATCATTGCAATGAAACAAATACAACAGGATGAACGTAAAGCCGATCTTCTCCCATGTAAACTATCACTCAATTCACAATAAAAGCTTTAAAAAAAAAAAAGAATATCCCACCTGAGAACTCCAGTCCTAGATTATGACTATTAATAAGATCCAGTAACTTTTTCCACATTTTGCTGAACTACAAGCATGTATGAGGTGGATTCAAAAAGTTGGTAGAAAAATGGAATTAAAAGATACTGGAATTTTTCTACAAATTTTTTGAAGCCCCATCATATATATATATATACACATACATACATACATGTCCATTTGTTTTTTATTATAAAAGGCTTATAGTATACAAACTGATTTGCTTCTTCCATTTTCCATTATGATCTAACAAAAAAATTCAAATTAGCACATCCTGGTGTGGCACTGTGGGTTAATGCACTAGACTCAAAGTTGTTTGAACTGCAAGGTCGGCAGTTCAAGCTCACCAGCTGCTCCTCAGAAACTCTACACAGGGTCACTATGGGTCGGAACCGACTCGATGGCGCCTAACAACAACAATCTAATTTTTAAGAGCTGGGAATGCAGAACCAAAGAACAAACAGCTCCACCAAGAAAGTAACATAATGGCATCAATAAACTCATACCTATCGATAATTACATTGAATGTCAATGGATTGAATGCACCAGTGAAGAGAAAGAGAGTGGCAGAATGGATAAGAAAACAAGACCCTTCAATATGCTGCCTGCAAGATTCACACCTTACACACAAAGACAAAAACAGACTAAAAGTTAAAGGATGGAAAAAAACTTACCAAGCTAACTGCAACAATAAACAAGCAGGAGTGGCAATACTAATCTCCGATAAAGTAAACTTTAAGATAAAAACCAGCAAAAGAGACAAAGAAGGACATTATCTCATGATCAAAGGGTCAACTGAGCAAGATGACATAACCATAATAATTTTTAAGAGCTGTATAATATTCCATTATATGTATGCCCAAATATTTATGTAGAGTCCAGTGAACTTTATATAAATATTTAGGTATACATATTTTCTCTCCAGACTTCTATCTAAAAGTACTGCTAACTTCTAATATGTATGTTTTTGCATACATAATTAACATGTCTGTTTATGGTATTTATGAAGTGAAGCTTCTGGCTGACAAGATAAGCTCATTTAACATTTTAATCAACATTTATTGCTGAGATGCCCTCCAAAGGGATTGTTCCAGTTTGTAGTCCCACCATTAATATATGAGATTTCCTATTTCCCCATAATCTCTCCAAGAGTGTGTGCTGTCAGACCCTTGGAACACTGCCAATCTAGAAGTGAAAAAGGATTATCTCAGTATAATTTTATGTCCATTTGTTTTATCACAGATTAGAATTTATAAACATATGTATGTGTCTTTTCTATTCTCTTCTATGTCTTTTGCCCATTTTTCTATTGGGTGTTTTGGTGACTGGTATTTCTTTTTGATTTGTAAAACATTTACATTGTGAGTAAATGATTCTTCGTTATCTGTTTTACTAATATTTGTTACTGCTCTTATGTCGCTGAGGCAGCTCCAACTCACTGTGACCCTATGCACAACAGAATGAAACACTGCCTGGTCCGGCACCACCCTCACAATTGTTTCTGTGCTTGAACCCAGTGCTACTATCACTGTGCCAATCTATCTCGTTGGGGGTTGGGCCTCATTTGTTTTGCTGACCCTACACTTTACCAATCATAATGTTTTTCTCCAGGAACTGGTCCCTCCTGATAATAAGTCCGAAGTATTAGTTTCCATTTATCTTTGTCTTTTGCCTTTCTTTAATGTATAAGTGATCATGAAGATTTTTTTTTACTTATATACGGATAAATTTATCTGTATTTGGTATTTTTTGAGTTTTATAGTTCCCTCAGAAAGACCTTTTTATTTCTATGACTGAATAAAAAGATATTTCATATTTTTTCAGTTACTTTCAAAGTAAGTTATCAGACCCATCTGCTACTTACTTTGGAGTAAGATTGACATTCACCATACTCTTTGTTCAAACTATTGAACATCAAATAATCCATCTTTGCCCCCACTGATTAGAAATACAAAGAAAACCACAAAATTTACAAATGATGCTTCAGGAGGGATCTAACTTAGTGGTTCTTGTGTATTGGTTTGCATATTGGTGCTCTGCTGATCACATCAGGATTTTAGGAGGATCTCCCCCAAAAAATGCAGGTTTCTATCCAGGAGCTTCAGATTCAGAAGGTCTTAGGTGGCAGTCTGGTACTATTGACTTTCTCCAACAGCTTACATAAAAAAATGTTCAGCCTGGCATTAATGTTTTATGAATACTTCAATAAACTATACATCCTTCACTTAAAAAAAAAAAAAAAGGAACCCCCTATCTTTCAGCTATCACCTCATCCTTCTATACAGATTTGCCTATTCCGGACGACTCACAGAAATGGGATTATAAATTATGTGTCACTTTGTGGCTATATTCTGGCTTCTTTCACTTAGCACAATATTTTCACATAATGTTATATTATAATGTTATAGCATGTACCAAAGGAGATCTGGTAGCGTAGTGGTTACAAACCAGGCTGCTAACCTCAAGGTGGCAGTTCGAAACTGCCATGGGAGAAAGATGAGGCTTTCTGCTCCCATAAAGATTTACAGCCTTGGAAACCCTGTGCAGGGTCACTATGAGTCAGAACCGTCTCCACGGTACTTAACAACAACAAGCATGTATCAGCATGTCATTACTTTCTTAGACAAAATATTCCATTATATGTATACATATATACTGTTGTTGTGGTTAAGTGCTGTGCAGTCAGTTCTGACTCACAGCGATCCTGTATAGGATCTCCAAAGAGTTGCTGGTGAGTTTGAACTGCCAACTTTGTCTAGCAGGTCAGTGCTTATCCTACAGTGCCACACCAGAAGTCCATACAAACTCTATTATGTTGTTAGGTACTATCAAGTCGGTTCCAATTCATAGCAACCCTGTACAGGGTTTCCAAGGAGCAGCTAATGGGTTTGAACCACCGACCTGTTAGTTCACAGTGCAGTGCTGATCCTAAAGTGCCACACCACACACAATTTTTTAATGTTTATTCATTCATCAGGTGATGAACATTTGGATGCTTATAAATAATGCTATAAGCAATCATGAACAAGTTTTTACACGGACATATATTTGTTTCTGTTGGATACATATTTAGAAGTATAACGACTGGGTAATATGGTAATACATGTAATCAATTGAGAACTTCTTACACTGTTTTTCAAAATGGCTGCATTTTACCACTCCCATTAAATTTATGCACCAACCACTAGTCAGTGATTAAGAATTTGAAGCATTCTACCACCTTCTTCTAAGGACCTCTGGTAGCGCAGTTGTTACGAGTCGGGCTGTGAACCACAAAGTCAGCAGTTCAAAACTACCAGCTGCTCCACAGGAGAAAGCTGCGGCTTTCTGCTCCCGTAAAGATTTACAGCCTCAGAAACCCGATACAGGGTTGCTGTGAGTCAGAACCGACTCCATGGCACTTAACAACAACCACCATCTTCTATACAGTCAAGATGTACTGGTAATTACTGGTGATTTGAATGCAAAGGTTGGAAACGAGAGGAAGGATCAGTAGTTGAAAAATAAGACCTTGAGGACAGAAATGATGCTGGAGAACACACGAAAGAAATTTTTTTTTTTTTTTTGCATGGCCAATCGTATGCAAGTAAAATCTTGTTGGTGATCATTCAAAAATGGCTGCACATCAACAGAGAACTGCCAGAAACTCAAGCCGTATTCAGAAGAGGACATGAAACTAGGGATATCATTGCTGACGTCAGATGGATCTTGGCTGAAAACAGAGAATATAAGAAAGACGTTTACCTGTGCTTTATTGATAATGCAAAGGCTTTTGACTGTGTAGACAATGTCAATGTATGGGTAACATTGCAAAGAATGGGTATTCCATACACTTGATTGTGCTGAGGAACTTTTACATAGACAAAGGATCAATCATTTGAGCAGAACAAGGGCATACAGAATGGTTTAAAATAAGGAGAGGTGTGTACCAGGGCTATAGTCTCTAACCATACTTATTCGATCTTCATACTAAGCACCTAATCTGATAAACTGGATTATATGAAGAACATGGCATCAAGAATGGAGGAAGATTCATTAACAATCTATAATATGCAGCTGATACAACCTTGCTTGCTGAAAGTGAAGAAAACTTAAAAGTACTCTTGATGAAGATCAAAGATCACAACCTTCAGTGTGGATTGTACTTCAAGGTAAAGGAAACAAAAATCATCCCAACTAGACCATTAAATAATATAGTAACAAATGA